TGTGGGTGCTCTCAGGCAGTCCCCTGCATTCTCAGCCCCTCAACCTGGCACTGGTTGGCGGTGTGCTAAGATCACAGTTGCTACAATGATGGAGGTCAGAGCCCACCTTCTCTGGCTGTCTGCTACGATCTCAGCCTTAGCCTATCAAAGCCAGGTCTCCCCCACCTTTGTTTTGAATTTTTAAATTTTAAGGTATTTTTAATTTTAAGGGCTCATTCTGTAGCCCAGGCAGCTTTGAATCCTTTTGATTCTCCCTCCTCAGCCTCCCAAGTAGCTGGGATTACAGGCTTATGCCATCAGGCTCAAGTATTGAAACTGTATCTCAAACAAAACAAAACAAAACAAAACAAAACAAAACAAAAAAGTCTTTTTAGGAGTTTGAACATCCACGTGCACACCCATGTTCATAATAGCATTATTTACATTTCTCAGACAGAGGCAACCCAACTGTCCATCGAAAAGATGAATGTGATACATTTTCTATCACCAAAGGGAGAATATTATTATTCAACCTTAAAAGAAATTGTGATTCATACTACAACACAATCCTTGAAGACATTGTATTGAGTGGAATAAGTACAATTCTGATTGTATGAGGAACTACAGTTAAAATCACAGATGCAGAATGGTGAACATCAGGAGTTAGGAAAGGAGCTAACTGGGAATTACTGTTTAAGAAGAATGCCAGAGGGATGCAGGGATGACCCATATGAATGAGCTTAATATTAAACTGTGCAGTGAAGAATGGTTAAATGACAAATCTCATGGCATACATACTTAACCATAAACTTTAAAATGCTTGATAAATAATATAAATTAAAAGATGTAATTAAGGGCCAGGGAGATGGCTCAGTGGGTAAAGCAGTGTACAAGCCTGACAGCCTAAGTTCTGACCCCCAGAACCACTTAAAAAGCTGAATGTAACGGTGCATGCATCTGTAATCCCAGCACATCTCTCCTGGGAGTTGAAAAATGGAGGCAGGCAAATTGATAGAAAGCACATGGGCCAGCTGGCCTGGCATAGGCAATAGTGAACAAGAGACCAGACCCTGTCTCAAGACGGAAGGCAACTACTGACACCCAAAGTTGTCCTCTGATCTCCACATGTATGCCATGGCACACATGTACCTGTACTTACACAAAACACACATTGCCCCCCCCCCGTGTAATTAAGGTGGTACACCTGCTCTATTTCAAACTGGGTGTGACTAGCAGTAAAGTGAAAAGGCAGAAAGCAAGCATAGAGATGTACAATAAATGGACTGGCCTAGGGAGTTAAGAGATCAGCAACTGTGAAGTCAAGGGCCTCTTGCAAGCTTGGACTTTTCTCAAAACTCCTTTCATTCATCAGTTTACTATGCATGCTGCTGAAGCAAGCACTTGAAACTCCATTCCATCTTAGGCCTATTCCCTTCAAATCGCCTTTTATTTTTCCAGTGACAGCACATGCTGCTTCTAACAGAGGTTCAGATTCATAGCTTCTCCCCTTGTCTTTATTTTCTATCCTAAAAGTAAAACCTAGATGTACTAAGGCAGCAGTTCTCTGGGAGGAGTGATTTTAGCTCCCTTTCCCTCTCCCAGTCGGACATGTGGCAATGTCTACAGATAATGTAGAACTGTCACAGCTGGAGGAACATTAGCAGGGGTGTTAGGAATGTAAAGTGCAAGCCAGCCTCTCCACAAGACATCATTAGCCAGTTCCAAATGCTAATAATGCTGAGGCTGAGAAATCCTGTTCTAGGGTTTCAATGTTTTATTTTTATTTTTTATTTTATGTGTGTGCATGTATTGTCTACATGTAAGTAAGTGCACCCGTGTCATGCAATGCCCGCGGAGGTCAGAAGAGGCTGTCAGATCCCCTGGGACTGGAGTTACGGACAGTTGTTAGCTGCCATGTGGATGCTGGGATTTGAACGCAGGTCTTTTGCAAGAACCACCAGTGTTCTTAACTGCTGAGCCATCGCTCCAGCCCCCTCTTTTTGCTTTTTGAGACACGGTCTCTCCATGTGGCTTGAAACTATGTAACCCAGGCTGGCCTCAATCTCACAGAGATCCACCTGCTTCTAGCTCCTGAGCGCTGGGATCAGAGTGAGCCACTCCCACATCAGGTCTGGTTTTAGTGTTTCTTGATTTATAGTAGAAACAATCACAAGTTCTCATTTCATTCATTTTGAGAACTCATATAAAGACCAGTGGTGACTTTGGGTGAGGGCACTTGCTCAGCTGTCTCCCAGCCAATCTTACTTATACTCTACGGGCCAGAGCAAGAGAGGGAATTGGGCAGGACATATGGCCAAAAGGTTACAGATGGAGACAAGAACAAGAACCCAAATGAAACTAGTAGAGGTGTCTATGTTATTTGGACTGAATAACTCTTTTTGATGGCCATTTGGACATATATGAGCTGGAGAGGTTTCACTTAGAGTCCATATGAGGAAACAGCTGTGTATTTAAATGAGGTATATCAAAATTTAAACAAATTCAATCACATTTTTCTACAACCCAGCATACTACTTGATTACCTAACATTTCTACTTCTTCTGAGAATCAATAGCCTAATAAGTACATAATATTTGTAATAAAAAATGCTTTTTAAAAAACATTTGTGCGGGCTGGAGGGATGGCTGAGTGGTTAAGAACACTAACTGCTCTTACAGAGGACCCAGTTCAATTCCCAGCACCCACATGGCAGCTAAGAACTGTAACTCCAGTTCTAGGGGATCCGATGCCCTCTTTTAACCTCCACAGGCACTGCACGACATGGGTGCACCTACCTACATGTAAGCAATACACTCCGATATAAATTTTTTAAAAATTTGTGCATGTATGGTCAGAGAACAACTCTGTGGAGTCGGTTCTCTCCTTCCCCCTTTTCATGGGTTCTGCGGATTGAACTCAAGACTGCTGGGCTTGTGTGGCAAGTGCTTTTACCAGTTGAGCCATATTTTGCTTTTATTTTCCTCTTATATAATGCTAAATAACAAAGACCTTTTATATAATTCATGTTTTGAGAAATTCATTAATATTCTCAGGCCATTAAATCATTAGGCTAATTTATTATTAAAGTATACATTAAAATAGCACCTAATTATAAACACATATATAAAATAGATGATAGATTAGATAGATGGATAGATAGATGATAAACAGAATACTATACAGCAACATGAATGAAGCAATTACAATATGGATGAATCTTAATTTTGGTAGGTTAAACAATGGCCTCCAAGGATATCCAGGTCCCAGTGAATATCACACTCTGTACATGTGATTAAGGATCTTGAGATTGGGGGATTAAATTTCAGAATAGTAATTTAAGTAGAAGCAGCAGAGAACATGATGCATTGACAACAGGCTTTGGACATGGAGGAAGGGGCCACTGGTGAAGAATAAGGAAGTCAGCAGGTGAAAGGGCATCAAAACAAATGCTCCCATCACCTCCCTGCAGAAGAATGAGCTCTGCTGATACCTTGATTTTGGTCTAATGAACCTGATTTGGACTTCTGATCTGCAGGAGTGTAATAGAGTAAATCTGTTGTTTTAAGTCATTAAGCAGAGGCACTAAGAGGCAACATTCACAAAAACAATAAAAAAAGAGCATATTATGTATGACTTCATCTAAAATCTAAAAACAAAAAACAGGCAAAAGTAATTAAATAGTTGTAAAAAAGGCACAGTAGTAACTGCTTTTGGAGAAGACAGTTAAGATAGGGATAAGGGTGTGGAGGGGGCTTCATGTTTTGTTTTCATCTATGGATTACATTTACTTTTTGAAATCCTCTTTTCTATGTAGTATATACAGTTTTAAAAATAGGTACATTTTGAAGGGTGTGGTGGCACACGTGTACAATTCTAGCACTTGGAAGGTTGAAGGCTAACCAGGCAGATTAGGCCTACAGAGCAAAGCTTATCTTAAAAAAAACTAAACAAAACTTTCAATACATCAATCTTACAATCTGATGAAAAAAAATATATTTGGGGCTGGAGAGATGACTCAGCAGTTAAGAACACTGGTTGTTCTTGCAGAAGACCCGGATTTGAATCCCAGCACCCACACGGCAGCTAACAACTGTCCATAACTCCAATTCCAGGGGATCCGGCAGCCTCTTCTGTCCTCCACGGGCATTGCACGACACTGGTGCACTTACCTACATGCAGGCATAACACCCATACACATAAAATAAAAATAATAAAATATCAAAAAATACATATATATTTAAGGGGATAGGAAAATATTTACTAAATATTTAGTTTCTCAAAAACTAAGGATTTTGTTTTGCTAAGAACTATGTAGATCAGGCTGGCCTTCAACTCAGAGATTCTCCTGCCTCTGCCTCTCAAGTGCTGGGATTAAAGCCATATACCAGGCTAAATTAAGTTGTTTTTTTTTTTTTCCCTCTTCTTTTTTAGACAGGGTCTCCCTGTAGCCCCAGCTGGCCTCAAAATCACTATGTAGACCAGGCTGGCCTTGATCTCACAGAGATCCACCTGCCTCTGCCTCCCAAGTGCTGGGATTAAAGGCGTGCACCACCATGCATGGCATAAGTGTGATTTTTAAAAAATATTTTATTATTTTTATTTTTTATGTGTATGTAAGTGCATCTGTGTCCTGCAATGCCCAGAGAGGTCAGAAGAGGGCATTAGATCCCCTCGAACTAGTGTTACAAATTATCGTCAGCCACCATGTGGGTGCTGGGAATCAAACCTGGGTCCTCTGGAAGAGTAGCCAGTACTCTTAACCACTGAGCCATCTCTCCAGTCCAGTAAGTGTGATTTTTAAATGCTAAAAACAAAACACTACATAATTAGTTTTGTTGTGTCTTGATCTGGACATTACAAAACACAAGAAAAACCATGTTTTCTGAAATAGCAGGAAATAAAGGTTTCAGAAAGGAGGTACTTCATACCAAATGACCAGAATGTCTTTTGGGTTTACTATTCTCATAGTAGTAAAAACAGTTGATAGAAATTGCCCTGTAATTCATTAAATATAAAAACAATTTATAAAACACATCAGAATTTTATTGCTTGAAGACTACAGCATATGAAATCACAAGAACATCAAAATGAAAAGTCACTAGGCTTGAAACATATAACACATTACCAGATGCAGTAAAATATTAATTAACCTGAACTCTGCATCACAAAGAAAAAGGTATGGAAAAATATCTAAACTATTTGCTTGAGAAACAGATACACTTAAGACAAAGTAAAAGAATGTTACAGTACAAATCAGAAAAGCCAACACTTACTCATTTTTTCTGTAGACTAGACTACCTTTGGTACTTAATCCTTTTTGAAAAAACAATTCCTTCCATCTTGTCCAAACACTTCATGGGCATGATATCCATGAAATACTCTGAAATAACTTCAACTTAAAATACTCAGCAAAATTCCTAACCTTATTGTTATGTGGGGGAAGTGTATTTGATGAATGTTTAACAATATTTCCCTTTTTATTTTTTAACTGCAAAATAAGATCATTAAGAAATCTAATACTTATATAAACTTTACTTATTTAGCTCTCCAATTAAAAGTGAATTCTGGCAGCTAGAATCTATTTTGGGGCTTTGTAAATATGGAAATGATTTGGCAACTGACATAGTAACTTAATTACTTCATATCATCTTAGATTGCTTTTCCTTCTGTTTCCAAAAATACAAATATGCCATTTCTCCCAAATTCACTCAACTTCTCTAACAAGTGAATCAGTACCACACTTTAAATTAAAGCTTGTTCCTTTAATATGTTGAAACTATTTATGCTTTATATAGGGCTGATCAGTTATGACACTTTTTTTTTTAAAAAAAAAACAAAAGCAAACTGTTTAAAGCTATTACTCAGTGATGAAAGGGACAATGATGGCATGTCAAAGTTAGTGTTGGACTCTTTAGGTCATCTAGTCAAGAAAATGTAAATGCGATGCTAAAACCAAACAATAAGTAAACTACACCTACACGTTAAATAATTTTTAAAAGTCCTCTTTCATAGCAAACATGTTCATTAGCTTTATTTCCCCTAGCAAAGGTCTGAACATTCATAAATCTCAGTTAAACCAACGGAACCCAAGCAACTGTTCACAAGTCCCACCTATATATTTGAATGATATAAACATGGATGGACTAAGCAAGTAATACTATTAACAATTACTGAACTGGAGTGAAACAGTAAGAATCATGACAATCTTCAAGATTAGCCAGTCTTTGAAATGTCATAGTGTAGCTCAGGATAAATTATACTATAAGAAAACTAGTTTTTATCTCTACACAAAACAACAACAAAAAAAACCATAACTCACCAAATGTATACAACTACTGAACATACTCCCTAGTTTTTGAATATCTTATTTTGAGGTTTCTTCAAACAAGTATATTTATTGGAGAATACACATTTGTTGCCTGTGTATATACTCACTTTAAAAGACAGAAAAATTTAGATACTATAGAACTCAACTCTTTTTTGACCAACCTGATTCAAATATTCTGCATCACACCATATCCCACCTCAGCTTAAAATCCTCAACTTTAGTTAAAAGGGCAGAGAAAATGTAAATACAGATTAAGAGCTTCTGTATAAATTTCACTGCATTTTTATAAACTTGAAGTTTTCTGTAACACTGTTTATTGATCAAATAAAGGGTTCACCGCTATCTAAAATTTCATAAACACCATTAAAAATTCAAAATTGGTATTATACTGAACCTTAAATTTTCAATAGTTCAAATTGACAGTTTTATATGTATAATAGCACACAGTAGTTGAAACTTGACAGTAGACATCTCTAGAATACCAATGGCAAGTCCACCAATATGCATACAAAATTACAGATAAGCATTTCTTTCACTGTTTTGTTGTGCAAGAGAAAACATTTATACAGGAAACAGAAACTCAGCTGGTGAATTTCAGATATCATCGTCATCATCTTCATCTTGAGAAGACCCTGCCTGATTGGATGCACTGGCTGAAGCTGCCGCAAGCTGGGCTTGTTGGGCAGCCTGCTGCATTTGAAGCCATTCCTGCTGTGCCAATTCTGCTTGCTGCTGTCTAGCCTAAGATCAAAACATAAAGACAAGTGTACACACTTTGGTTAAATGCAAATTAAACCAACTAACAAACAGGCATTATTAAATTTGGGTATTTTTCAGCTACTGTGTAATCATGAAATAGCTGTAAAAACAAGAACTCATGATTTCTAGTTCCATTGAAGAAACTGAAATGGCTGATTTAAAAAAAAAAAAATTAGGCAAGGTATAGTGGCACATGCCTTTAATCCTAGCACTAGGGAGGCAGAGGAGGCAGGCAGATCTCTGAGAGTTCGAGGCTAGCCTGGTCTACATAGTGAGTTTCAGGTCAGCTGGGGCTACAGGGAGACCCTGTCTCAAAAAGACCAAAAAAAAAAAAAAAAAAAAAAAATCACAGTAGTCTCTCTTTGGCTCCTTTTCTGTACCTTTAATTTAATTTGGATATAAACATTATTTCTGTGGCTTAAGTTTTTTAGTAAGGGGAAAGCACTACACAGGAATGCAGCAGCTTCCCTGACATTTCCTTCTGAATTCCTATTACACTTCCCTCTCCGCATGCTCCAAAAGAAACCTAGAACAGAAAATATTTCCAATGTGCACAGTACTGCTGCACGTTCATTTTCTTTACTCTTCTTGACATTCAATCTACTTGAAATTTCCTTTCACTTTCTGAAACTGTACTTTGCATACCAAACTGAAATATTATTTTTTCCTCCCAGTATCAGTCAAGCTGTATTCAGGAAAGAGAATAACATTAGTTGTGGGAACTAGTAAAAATAGGATTGCTACCCAAGGATAAAATGGGTGACAGGCAACTGGAAAAGCAAGAACATTGAGGCATTATGGAGATGGCAAATACAACAAACGGTCGCCAGCTAAACTAGGGGACAGAGGAAGAGGCTGGACTGTTTAAAGCTTATGTTTGGAGGAAAATGGAAATAAAACTCAACACCCCTGAAGAACGGGCATAAATTTGCCCAAGCATTGGAGCCTGGACGAGGATCCAAGTATTGGGATCTACACCCCTGAGGAGGAGAGTACAGGTTCAGTCAGGCTGATTCTGTAATAACACAGAAAATGGAAATTGGATTCAGTTCCTACTATAGAACAAACTGGTACAGCCAGCCCAGGGAAGTGTTCCTGGACACTGGGCGTGACAGTGCACGCTTACGGTCCCAGCATTGGGAGGTAGAGGCAGCCTGACCTACAGATGAAACCATGTCTCAAAAGACCAAATAAATAAGTTCCTGAATTGGTCAATTGGAAGCTAAGAAGAAATAAAAGGAGCAATTAACATTTTTTTACTTAATAGTTAACCCCTATTGGTAGTAGAGGCTAACACGGAGTTACCTAGCAAAGCAGATGTACCTTGAAGAGAGCAATGGTCTCCCAATATGTGATTTTACTTTTCACAACTTCTGTTATCTGGAAATCAACCAAAACATTAAATGGAAAATTCCAGAAATTAGCAATTTTCAGGTTTTAAACTGTATGCCATTATTGAACAGTGTAATGATGAAATCTCACATTGTCCAGCTTCACCTGACTTGGGTTTGTGAATCAAGTTATCCAGCATATCCATCCTGCATATGCTTTCACTTGTTACTTAGTAGCTATCCTGAGTTATCAGGTCAACCATCATGTAGAGTTTGATACTGTCTGAGATTTCAAGTCATCTAGTGGATCCTCTGCAGATAACAGAGTGGAGCTTAATGTACTAAGCCCCATCACAGAACACAGTAAGGTGGATTTGAGGCTAAGACAATTGGTCAGCAACTCACACACTATGTGCAAGTGAAGTCTCTGATGTGCATGGCCTCTCTTTTCCCTGAGAGCTAGCAACATGTTACAGTTTTGTCCAGGCTGGCTTTGAACTTGTGAACCTATAGCTTTAGGTATTCCCAAAGCTCTGTAGTATATACACATATACCAGCTTTGAGAAAGAAAAGTCATTGCAATTGGCAGGGTAGAAGTCAAACTTCAAGGAATAAAAGCAAGTGGTATACATTTTCAAAGCACAGTAACAGATCATTACAGCGAAGGTTGGGAGACACCCAAACATGGTTAAAAATTATTGCTACATTCTTCCTCTGAAGACATAACTAAGGAAAAGACAGAAGACAGAAAACACACGACTGGGCTAGAGAGATAGCTCAGAAATTAAGAGCACTTACTGCTCTTCCAGAGGACCCAAGTTTAGTTCCCAGTACCTATATCAGGTGGCTCACAACTGTCTGCAACTCCGGCTCCTGGGGATCCAACTGCCTCTTCTGGCTTCTGTGGACACCCACAAAATAGCATACACTGGGCGCGGTGGCACCCGCCTTTAGTCCCACCACTCAGGAAGCAGAGGCAGGTGGATCAAGGTGGAGTTCAAGGCCAGCCTGGTGTACAAAGTGAGTTCCAGGCCAGCTGGGGCTACAGGGAGACCCTGTCTCAAAAAAACAAACAAACAAAATAGCATACACTCACACAGACACATACAAACATACGTAAATGAAAATAACTTAAAAAAAATGACTAAGAATTTTTTTTAAGTGAAAGGACTTTATTTAATTATTATTATTTTATGTGTATGCGTGCATTGCCTGCATGTAGGTTAAGTGCACCCATGTCGTGCAATGCCCATGGAGGTCAGAAGAGGCTGTCGGATCCCCTGGAACTGGAGTTATGGACAGTGGTTAGCTGCCATGTGGGCGCTGGGATTTGAACCTGGGTCTTAACAACCAGTGTTCTTAACCACTGAGCCATCTCTCCAGCCCCTAAGAATTTCTTAAGTAAGCAAAAACTTTCTTTTGTTTCAGGAACCAGGTTTTCTAATTTAACTATTTTCACCTGTGTTTCTAAAGAAATGGGCAAAAAGTTCTAATACACATGCACATTTACTTTCATGGTAGAAATACCCAAAGCGTTCAAAAGATATTAAGAGTACTTTACTTCACTGGGCATAGTTGTACATGCCTTTAATCCCAGCACTTGGGAGGCACAGGCAGGTAGATCTCTGTGAGACCCAGGGCAATGTGGAATGGTCTACGTAGTCAATTTTAGGCCAGCTGGGGCTACAAAGTGAGACTCTATCTTAAAGAACAAAACAAAACAAAACGAAATAAAACAAAAGGGTTGCTGGGCATGGTGACACATGCCTTTAGTCCAACAACTCCAGAGGCAGAGACAGGTGAATCCAAGTCCAACCTGGTCTACATAGCAAGTTCCAGGCCAGTTGGGGTTACTAGGAGACCCTGTCTCAAAAAGACCAAAAAAAAAAAGGTGCTTCATTTAACAACATTTTAAATCTTTACAAGATTATAGAGAACCACATATGTGAATTTAATAACACAGACTTTAAATAATTTAAAAAATGAAAAAATAAAATGAACAAAGAAAAAAAATCAAATTATAATTCTACAGAGTTTACAAGACTCTTGTATTCAATGGCTCACAAAGACAGGAACTAAGTCACTTTAAATCTGACTTTTCAGTACTGTAACCTCATATCAACTCTTATACTTTCTCTAAACATAAAAACATTCATATGCTTTTTAAATTTTTTATTTTTTAATTTTTTGGTCTTTTTGAGACAGGGTATCCCTGAAGCCCCAGATGGGTGGAACTCACAGAGATCTGCCTCTACTTCCCAAGTGCTGGGACTAAAGGCATATACCACCACACCTGGCCCTAAGTTTTTTTTTTTTAATTACTTATTTTTATTTTATGTGTATGAGTATTTTGCCTACATATATGTAAATGCATCAGTGTAAAGACTACAGAGGTCAGATGAGGGAACTGGAGTTCCAGATGGTTGGTAGCTGACCATATGGGTGCTGAGAACCCAGGTCTTCTGCAAGAACAGTCAGTGCTCCTAACTGCCCAGCCATCAATCCAGTGCCATTCCTATACTTTTAAAAAATTATTAACCAATAAAATTTTATTTGTATCCATTTCTACAAATTAAAATTTTCCAAAGTTATTTACTCTAGTTTCTTTTCCCCTTTCTGTCTGCCCAACTAATCCCAAGTATTCCTCTTCTAAAATAAGGGTACAGAAGAGGCATATAGGCATGTCTTTCCTAAACCACTACTCTTTTGGGGCAGGGGGGGTCATTATGTTTTAAGATTCTTTTTTTTTTTTTCCTTTTTGAGACAGGGTCTCCCTGTAGCCCCAGCTGTCCTAGAACTCACTCTGTAGACCAGGCTGGCCTTAAACTCACAGAGATCCATTTAGGATTCTTTTTTAACAGCTAACATCAATCCTGATGTATTAAAGGCTCCCCTCTTCAAAATATTTTACACTAACTTAAAATGAGGCTGTTACTGTGTTAATAGTTAAATGAAGACTAAAAATATAAAACAAAATTAAAATGATTTTTAAAAAAGAAATACCTATCAATTCTTTTCACACTGAGAACTTAAATAGTTTATGCCTAAAGGAGAATAGGCAGCCTCTATAATTTTAACTTTCTGTTGGTCATTTTCTTTTTTTCTTCTTTTATTTATTATTTTTATTTATGTGTATGTGTGCATTGCCTGCACGTAGGTAAGTACACCCATGTCGTGCAATGCCCATGGAGGTCAGAAGAAGCTCTCGGATCCCTTGGTACTGGAGTTACAGACAGTTGTTAGCTGCCATGTGGGTGCTGGGATTCGAACCTGGGTCTTCTGCAAGAACAACCAGTGTTCGTAACTGCTGAGCCATCTCTCCAGCCCCTCTGCTGGTCATTTTCTAAGAGTAAAAGAATATTAAAGTTCTTTGCCAGGCGTGGTGGCACACACCTTTAATCCCAGCTTTGGGGAGGCAGAGGCAGATGGATCAAGGCCAGCCTGGTCTACATAGAGAATTCCAGGACAGCTGGGGCTACAGGGAGACCTTATCTCAAAAAGACCAAAATTAAGTAAATAAACCCCTTCACCCATGTTCCAGGGTAAGAAAGAAAAGATAAGGGAGGGGGGTGGATCAGCTGATCAGCACTGAGAGCCAAGGATAGACAGGGCAGTCAATTATTTCTTGCATTTGCTGTTTGTCTGGCAAAGATAAAGCATACATTTAAAAGTTCTATAAAAATTTTAAGCAAAAAAATGATGGTTAGAGAACTAGCAAGGTACTACACAGACAATAGTTTTAAGATGACTCCAGCACTTCCTGCTTGTACTTAGCTATTTCAAGTCAAGTTTTTCTAGGAGATTTAGTTCTATAAAGACTAGAACCATGTCTCTTGCTGGCCTGCCATAAGCCTAGCACCCAGCACAATGCCTGATAATTAGTGAGGACTCTATCAAGTATCTGTAGAACAAATGACTGAAGTATTTCATGTTAAGGCCTCATTTCTGATTCTGTAAATGGATATATAAAATTTATATTATTTTATAAAAACATTGCAAAGTATTTAAAGTATCTAGAATTTGACATCCTTTAGGTAAATCTACAAAAGCAGGGAAGCAACAAATAATATTAATTTAAAAAATGATCACTCCTTCTTTGGTAACTCTATTTGTACATAATATATGCCTTATAATAGCATTGTTTAATGTGTCCATGATTTCCTTAAAGGTTTTTCCTCTTTATAAAGTTTGTAAAAAGAATTTGTATGCATGTACATTGTGTCACAGCATGAGTGTGGTGGTCAGGAGACAACTTTGCAGGAGTCAGTTCTCACCTTCTACCACATACACTCTGGCCATCAAACTCAGGTTGTCAGTGTAATGGCAAATGCCTTTACCTGCTGAACCATCTTGCCAGCCCCAACTTAAGAGATTCTTATGAGTATTAAAAGAAGTAATATATATTAATTGCTTGGCAATATGATTAACAGATGGTTAGAACTCAATGATGGAAGGCATTTTTATTACTTTAAATGATATCTTGTGCTAAATAATGCTTAAGATTCAAATGCAGTGGTTTGGTGGCACATTCCTATTATCCCAGTACTTGGGCAAGGAGAGAGTTAAGGCAGGAGGACTGTGAGTTCAAAGCCAGCCTGGGCTACAGAACACTCCTTGTTATCTCTTCTCTCATGCCTCCACCCCATTCTTTTAAAATAGAGAGATACTGGCACATGGTGCTAATCTTTCATGACTAATAAGAAAAAAGTGTTCTCCCTTTCTTTGCTCTACTTAAAGTTTTAAGCACTGGGGCTGGAGAGATGGCTCAGTGGTTAAGAGCACTGGCTGCTCTTGTAGAGGACCTGGGTTCGATTCTCAGCACCCACATGGCAGCTAACAACCATCTGTAACTCCAGTTCTAGAGGAATCTGATTCCCTCTTCTAACCTCCGCGGGCACTGCATGACATAGGTGCACTTACACACATGCATGCAAGCAATACACTCATACACATAAAATAAAAATAATAAATATTTTTAAAAAATTAAGAATTAAAGGTATATAAAAGACTTAATAAACAGATTTCCTTGAATGCCATTCATCATAAAATCTGCTAAGAGTATTTTTTGACTAGCACATTATTTTAAAGCTTAAAGATGTTTAAGTGTACTTTGCATGCTGATCATTCTCTCAGAAAAGAAATTAAGCTAAAATCTCAAGAGTTATTTGGTATTATTCTCTTTAGAAAAAAAAGGTTATTGCAAACTGGCCGGGCTCTAAACACTCAACTCTATAATAATCAAACAGTTAGCTGAAGAAAGAAACCCCTGGGTATATGTACTGATTTAGGATGTGCATTCAGAATCCAGGATCATTTCTCATTCTAGATGAAAATAATTTAAAACATATTACTTACTTTTGCAAATAATTCCTGCTGCTGTCTCAATAACTCTTCTTCAGGAATACCAAGGTTCTCCAAACGGGAATTGGCCTTTCTTCTTTTCAATGCTACTGTCTTGCACTCTTGTAAGACTTCTTTTACCTCACTGATGTAAGAACCAAAGCCCAAACTTTCTAGTGCTATAGAAATAAAAATATGAAAAGGTCGTTTGTTTTATTTTTAATTGTGTGTATTTGTACCTATGAATGCAGTGCCTGAAGAGGCAGAGACACCGGATCCCTTGAAGCTGGAGTTACAGGCAGCTGTGAGACACCCAATGTGAATGCTAGGAAGAGAACTCAGGTCCTCTCCAAGAGCAGTATGTGCTCTTAACTGCTGAGCCATCTTTGCAGTGCCACTTAACCAACTTTAAAAATATTAGATAGCAAAATCAGTTGAAATTTATGGAACATTTCAAGACACAGGTCTTTATTTTACCCACTCTGATTTCTAAAATTTTTAAGTTTTTTGTGAGAGTAACAGGTGGTTTGCATAAGAAAAACATTTTTCCCATGCCACTCATAGTAAATCAAGAATCATTAAATCTAACACTTTCTTAAATACAAAAAAGGAAAATATTTAGAATGTACTTGTTAAAGACATAGTTGGTGCCATTAGAAACAAATATGCTGGGAACACATGTTTATTAAGTTTCAGTAAGATAGGATGAAAGAACAGTGAAGTTTTTCTTTTGTCCAACATCCCAACAGAATATGGAAATACATACCTGTCCCAGTACTCAGGAAGCTGAAGCAGGGGCCTGGGCTATTTAGTGAGACTTTAACAACAACAACAAAAAAATGTGAAGTATAGTTCCCGTTAAAATACACAAATTAGCATTCCCTATCTTTTCTATTTCCTTATTTGTTGAAAGAATGTGACAGCTTTCACTTAAAATTTAGAAGAAGGATGTAGCTCAAAGTAGCTTCTTGCCTCATTAGCCTGTCATGAAGACCCTTGACAACCATGCCCTTGATGATACCGGCATTCCCAGAAAACTAGGTCTCAACAACTGAGAGATTCACAGCAGAAGAGGGCTGAGTGTCATTCATCTCCACATCCTACTAGTATCTACCTCAATTTTAAATACTTAGCAACATTAAATAAGCAAGTTTGGAATAGCACAAGGAAAACAACAAAAAAAACTTGGGCTATGGACATACACAGGTGGAGAGCACTCGCCTAAGACACAAGAGGTCCTAGATTCAATCTCCAGTAACATGTCTCCAAAAAACGACAATTTAAAGAAAATTAATAAACTGGGTGTGGTGGCACATGCCTTTAATCCCAGCTCCCAGAAGGCAGAGCCCAGTCTACATAGCAAATTCCAGGCCAGCCAGGATTACGTAGGGCGATCCTGTCTCAAAAACTATGTCCTTTTCTGGTTTCCATGGGGCACTGCACAACACGGGTGCACTTACATACATGCAGGCAATATACTCATACAGATAAAAATAAATAGAAATTTTATTTTATTTTTTGTCTTTTTGAGATAGGGTCTCCCTGTAGTCCCAGCTGACCTGAACTCACTATGTAGACCAAGCTGGCCTTGAACTCCAAAGATCAGCCAGCCTCTGCCTCCCAAGTACTGGGACTAAAGGCATGCACAACCACGCCTGGCCAAGTTTTGTTTTGTTTTTTTTTTTAAATAAATAAAATCCTACTGTGAAAATGAAGTGATTATGTGATAAGCTGTACAATGCAAATTTCATGTGTCCCTTTAGGAAAATATTGGTCTAACTACCTGAACAACACAGGATGCATTATTCTCTATTACAATTTCTCTGCAATCACTCAGTTCCTCTCATTTCAAAACTACTTCACATTCACTTTCCAAAATAAGATTGTGGTTTAGGCTTTAGAGCAAGACTACTCAATGTGGCCCATGGCCTTGTGCCAGGCTGCTTACAATGACTGCTACTTCTGACAGCTGCAGTGAGTTCAGAATGGAAATTCAAAGTAAGCATTTAAGACCTTTACAGTAACAGCGGTTTATATCCCATTCGCTCTAATATCAAAAAGGTTTTTGTTTATATGATTTTTAATTTTGCTTCTCCAGTGATCCATTTTATTGTTTTACCACTATATAGGAAGGGCTGAAATAAAAATTAAAGAACATTTCCTTTAATAGACAACCTGAAGCTCACTGGCCAACGAAAATTCTCAGTGGCTTTTTCTAACTTTTACTACTTTCAGTTACTATTCTTATAAATGTGAAAAAAGTCACACAGATTAAAAATAGAAGCAATAATTTAACACATTCCTATTTGAGCTTTGTAAATGCCGTGATGTTATAAAGCTAAATACAATAGTACTTGGCTTTCTATTTTAATCAGAACTGCTACCATTTTTTAGAATATTTACTGAAACATATTCCCCTCTATCTCTTTATGTTTTTTGAGACAGTCTCACTATATCCCAGGATGGCCTAGAACTCACTATGCAGCTGAGGTTGGCCTTAAACTTATAGCAATCCTCCTACTCAAGATTCCTAAGTGCTAGGAGTAAAGGTGTAAGCCACTGCACCAGCTTTATTAGAGGATATTTTATAAAGTAAGGTTCTTAAACCCTATCTGTTTCTCAGTGTCTGTGAATTATACTTCAACTCAAGTGTTATTTATCCATAAATGGGGAAATCTTAGCTAAAAGATTTGCCTAAGGCCAAAGCATTTTCAGTGTAAAACTTATAGTTCTTGGTTCTCAGCATCATTCCATAAGGCAAAGGAACACATTAGAACTCTGCCAAGCCTAGTTTCTTAAAATAACTAAAACAGAAAAAAAGCTTTTAAACTACATTATGGTATTTTGTATGTTTATTTGGTTATGAGCTTATTTCAATCTTTAGTTGCATTTTATAGAAGTGCCTCAGAATGCTTAATTTGCTATAACAAGACAAAACCAGGTAGCAAGTAAGCAAGTGAAATGCCTGAAGCAAAGTCTAGTTAATTAACCTTATTACTAAAAACCCAATGTGTGAGAATTACACTTCTTTTTTTTTAAATTTTATTTATTATTTTTATTTTATGTTATTCATGTATTGCCTGCATGTAGGTAAGTGAACCTGTGTTGTGTAATGCCTGCAGAGGTCAGAAGAGGTTGTCAGATCCCCTGGGTCTGGAGTTACGGACAGTTGTTAGCTGCCATGTGGGTGCTAGGATTCGAACCTGGGTCTTCTGCAAGAACACCCAGTGTTCTTAACTGCTGAGCCATCTCTCCAGCCCTGAGAATTATACTTCTTTAAAATGTATACTAGGGATTGAAGAGATGGCTCAGAAGTTATGAGCAATGGATACTCTGCCAGAGGACCCACGTTCAGCTCCCTCGTGGCAGCAAACAAGGGTCTCTAAATCAAGTTCCAGGGGCTCCAATACCCTCTTCTGACCTCCGAGGGCACTGAATGACAGGGGTGCACTTATACACAAGCAGACAACACATTCATACACATAAAAATAATACATAAGCCAGGTGTGGTGGTACACGCCTCTAAACCCAGAACTCAGGAGGCAGAGGCAGGCGGATCTCTGTGAGTTCCAGGCCAGCTGGAGCTATAGGGAGACCTTGTCTCAAAAAGAAAAAAAGTCACATCTATCATCATTTTATTAGCTTCCTATATTTCTTAAAACAATTCTCAAAAATTCTTAAAATAATTGCATAACATGAAATTACAAATGTATGAAATAAAATCTGCTTCACCATTTGGAACAAAAACTACACCTGTATGTACTTAATGGTAATGTTACAAAAAGAGGAAAATTTATGATTTTAACAGGTCAACAGATGGCTCTTTAAAATTAGTAGACTGCCATCATTACAACAAAAGAAAATCTTCTTTCAATATGCCTTTTGGGGTCAGGCATCAAACTGAAGTGAACATTTGCCAAAGCTCAACTACTCAGCATCCTGCTTGCTGCAGCTGCACTCTTACCATATCATGTCAGTCAGAAATCTACATATATCCTAGAAAAGAATGAACCTCCTCCAAGAAGGATTGTAATGTGTTATTATATTTTTGGAATAATTCCCACTTCTGTGGTACAAACAAATATTTAGGCAGATCTTATTAAACTAACTCCTTTGCAATTTTCATTAACAAGGCAATGTAGACAAAAGTTTTTTATAAGCTGTCAAAGTAAATTATAGCTATTTGTGCTAGATAATTTTGTCAGATTTAAGACAGCAATCGTATACACAATGTAAAAATAAAAACACAAAAAGAAAAATAGACAACTTGACTTCCATTTTACTCATCACTCAGCAAACCAAACTTGTAAAAAACACTAGCTTTATGAATCAAATACGTGCTCAGCAGTTAAGAGCGCTGTCTGCTCTTGCAGAGGGCCAGGGTTTGGTTCCCAGCACCCATATGGCAGCTATCGATCATCCTTGAAAACTTCAGTTCCAGGGGATCTGACACCCTCTTCTGACCTCTGTGCATTGCACAGGTGTGCTTACTTACATATATGCAGGCAAAACACTCATATACGTAAAATAAAAAATTAAAACAAAAATATGTGGGCTGGGAATATAGCTCAGCTGTATGTAGAACATATGCCTAGCATGTGTAAGGCACTAACTTCAATTCCGAGTACCAAAAAAAAAAAAAAAAAAAAAATTTGGACCCGGCAATAG